CGCCTGGGACGGAACCATCTAGGCGGTTCCGTCTCCCTGCGGCGAGGGGGAGCGGTCCGGAAGTCCATCCTTAGGAGAGAATGATCTGACCATGACAAGGGCTCAATAACTATCTCCCCTAATGCCAGATCACTCTGCCACTGGCCTGAGACAAAAATCAGATCCAGCGTGTGTCCACCCGTGTGAGTGGGGGCCTGAAGTACTATTTGGATACAAGAAGACACAAATTTCTGATAGCAGATGATTTTTAAGACATTCTTTGTTCTTTATGTACTTTGTGCAAGTTGTCAGTAAAAATAATTCTGATTGGCTAAGCAGAAGAAACTACTTTAAAAGCATACATTTGGAAGAAAGTTGTCACTGTTGTGCATGTGTCACCCAAAGATGAAGACTATGTTCTTCACGATTGCAGAATTGTATGAGGTATGTTGGGGATGTGGCTTTTGTTTAATTGTTACTTGCATATAAAATGGACATATCCAGCTGAAATTACAGTGTTTATTCATGTGGTTAACTTATGTTTGGACTCATCGGAACATAGGATTAGACTAATACATAAGCCATCAAAGGCAATATTATTCCCCTAACTCTTGAGAAAAAGTTAACAGTGATCTCAAGCCACCAAGAAGAATTCGGTGCTTAATTAAAATATGAGTTCCGTGGAGTTAAAGTTGTACAAACCATATATAATTTTACAGGCAAGATTGCAACTAATTGAAATTGTATGTTTAGAATTTCTCTGAGCCATCATCCCAATTAGTTTTAATTCATTTATTATGCAATTCTTAGCAAACTTCTCAGCCACAGTAATTTGCTTGTTTTTAACAGCTTTTATCACAGAAATGGCTTATTGTCACAAAGAAAAGTGGCTAATAAATATGATGAATAAATAAAACAGTGTACAGCACATGAACTGAACATTTATGTTTAGAAAGCATCTCAGTAGTTTCCAACTTCATATCCTCTGCAAACATCAAAGAAATCTAAAAGAGAGCTGCAAAGTTAGGTAGCCTGGTTCAGCTCAATCTATTTACAGCAGGTTGTCTCATCTATGCAGCAGCTATTTGGGTTCCATAATAAAAGTAGTGTTTGAATGTGAGAAATGTTTAACTGTTCTCTCCATTGTTTATCTTTAGATCTGCATAACTTCAGAAAAGGAACACGACGACGGGTTTATCAAAGTATACAGTGGGAAGAAAAAGGGCTTTGTCCCAGTAGATGTCTTAGAAAACATCTGAAATTTGCCCGCTCAGCAACTGCAGTACAGTAGTGAAGCTTTGCCAGCAAGACCTGTCTGCTTCATTTTGCACTGTGTCTACCCAAACAAGCTGTCTTAAAGATGACTAGGGAAATCAGGAGACAACTACAAAGATCAACTATTATCATGCATTTAGTTGCTTTGAAGCAACAAACAGTGGTTGGTCAATAACAAAGTGTATTATTAGAGAATGAACTAAATAAAGGTGGTATGAGTCTTAGGGGAGGGGTGGGCTGCTTTTCTAAAAAGACAAGTAAAACATTAAACTGGATGGTGGGTTTTGTTTTCCTTTTGTTTTTTCCCTGAGCAAAGCTACTAATGGTTACCCTTTGGCAACAGGCAACTGACCTGTAAGGTTAAGTTTTAATCTTGTTCAGATGTCTTAAGAAAACTGGTAGGAACTTTTAGTCAATGTTGTTTGATATGTGACTCATTAGGAAGAGTTCAGACTTCCTGTGAACTACTGTGATTTGATGGTTGAAATATGTAATATGAGTCTGGTCTTTAAAATATTGTTCCCCATTTTAGGGAATCAGGATAATATTTGGTTCTGACTTTTAATTTTTTATTAAAAAGCAGCTTAAGTAAAACATATAGACATCAGTTTGGGAAATATGCTGCTACCCGGTTTAAGTTCTCTGCAGGTTTGGTTTTTTTAGGTAGGTTAAATTGGTGAGCTTGTATATCTACAACAGTTGCAGTTTACAGATGTAAATTCTGATTATGCAAGTGATGCATAATATTTTCCCCAGTGATGCTCATTAAACGTTGTTACCAAAAGAAGAACATTGCTTAAAACAAGAAATTTAGCTGCAACATATTAAATACATTTTCAGTTTTTAAATATTATGTGTGTGTACATGGATGTGAACATGTTTGAGGGTACATGCACACAAACCCAACATGGGCTTGTTTCTGTGGGTAGTCAGTTCCCTTCAGAATGAAAAAAGCATATATCAGCAGATATATATATATATATGGGCTGAAAGAAAAATAGATTAACCAGGACACATTGAAAAATGAACACAACATTCAAACAGTAAAGTTTAACAATTCACCTGATAGCACAAACCAGCTGCAATCCAACAAAAAGTCAGATGCACATATATAAGCTTCTATTAAGTCTAATAGAATTAACACTGCCTTGGGATAATAATAGCCTCTGACAAAAGACAGAATTTTGATCATTGTTTCACATTCTGTTTTGACACACAACACAAGCAACATCCTTTTGATTCCAGTTGAAGTTTGGAGTCAGCTTTTCATTTCTTTTTTATGCAAGTGGATGAGAGATTGTCCTTCAGGCTGAACAAAACCTATTTGCGTAGCACTTAAGGAGAATCCAGTGTGATGAGTCTTAAGAAGTTCTAGGCCCCTTTTTAATCTATGATTTGCCTGCTTGATTTTAAAATGTACTAGAATCTTTTGAGATATGCGCTAACCATGAACTGGGATACATTTTCATACTTGTGTGAGAGATAAGAAGAGCAGTGTCCTGTTTTTATTAACGCTGACTTGAGATCCTTATGACCCCCAAAAAAATCACCACTTGGTTTGTGTTTCAATATCTGTCTGGATCTTGATGTGCATTTGCTACCAGAGTAGATGCCTTCGGGGACATGAAATGGTTTTATCATTTACTCATTTGAAAGGCCCATTTTCCAGAATTGTGGAATGGTATTACATAGCACTGATAGCCATTCCATTTCCTTATACTTGTTCATTTAAATAAAGCCCCAAAGGCAAAATTGTAATAAATGATCCCTATAATGCTAGAAACATTTATTATATAGCGTTCATTTGAAAGCATTTTTTGAAAAGGGAAGCCAGTCAGTTTATTAGTTAAATAAACATTTGCCTATGACAAAGTAGCAGTACAGAAGAGATACTATTTACCTGACCTGCTTTATATCATTGTTTGGTTTCAAACCACTCACCAGAATTAGGGGGTTCCTCAAATGATGATCTTCTATTTTAGTATGCAAAGACTAGATAATGTTATACAATCGTTTGTAATGCAATATACTGTGATTCTGCCCTATTTTAACTGCTTCTCTTAGTTCAATTTTTCTTTCATTCCTGCATCATAGGATAAATATTAATATTACTTTCAATTCATAATGGCCTTTAATCATTGTCTCATTTCTTTTGATACTAAGCAATAAAACAGTAAAGTAATTTTTAAAAGACTCTTGGATTCATGTCATACTGGGTGGAAACTAATCAAAGAGAGAAGCAATCTAGAACTAAGGAGAAACTTCCTGACAGTGAGAACAATTAACCAGTGGAACAACCTGCCTCCAGAAGCGGTGAATGCTCCAACACTGGAAGTTTTTAAGAAGAGACTGGACAGGCATTTGTCCGAAATGGTATAGGGTTTCCTGCCTGAGCAGCGGGTTGGACTAGATGACCTTCAAGGTCCCTTCCAACTTTATTATTATTATTATTATTATTATTATTATTATTATTATTATTATTCATGTTTCTGTTACAAACAAATGACTTTCATCTTTTTCCCTACTATCATTGATGGTGAAATCAGAAATGAATGTGCACATATACACATCCTTAGCTATGACATCCTTAGCTATGGCTGATCAAAGGCTTTAAAATCCGTACAGTATTTATGTTTAATATTGGACACTGTTTTAAGCCACTGCATGAATCATTTTTTCTTAAATGTTCATATTTAGACATTGTGTTCATGTACATCTTAACATCTTTATTCAATTATATCTTAGTTATATACTACTTTGCACACCTGTGGTCATGAAAATACACTTAGAAATAAATGTATGGATTATTCATTAGGGTCATCACTAAAACATCACTATCTTCAAGAAGTGTCAACTCTTAGCATCATGTAGACAGACCTTCTTCAGGAAATCTGGCCCTAATCTGGCCCTCCAGGTCTCCCAAAAGCATGTCCATTTCCATTGAGGTCAAGCCCATCCTTCTTGCTGGTTGTTCTCTTTTTTCTGTTTCTTTTGACCTTTCGCGACACTAAGGACTTCTTAAAGGAACTGGTGTTTGCATAATGTGTTCAACATTAATGTGTCCAAAACTGGGGGACAGATGTAGCCCATTAAATAAGCACTGATTGTTGTCAGATTAATTCTTTTAACATAATGTAGTGGGGAATTTCCAGTCATGTAAATGATATTGTAGCAGTATTTCTATTATAGCTGACCATTGGGCAAGGGAGTTTGAATCCCACAATATCTAGCATGCAAATGTTTCTCTAGTCAACATTTTTGATGACATAACCAAATCAAAAGAACAAATTACTTTTGGACTAATCTGATTACTCATATATTTTAAAAATGCCACCTGTTAGGGTTAGGGTTAGATTAAATATTAAATTCACCCAACAGAGGAACCTGCAAAAGTTTAGAAATCCATCCTTTTATCAGTCATATTATGAATGCATATTGGAAATCTTTCTTGCATTTTTATATGAATTCACCACTACAATTCTTTTAGCACAAATTAGCACATTTAACACCTACTCCATTTACCATAATAAATTATGCAAGCACCGGGCACATAATAATTGTCTTCAGTGAAATATATTGTTGATTAATATGCTATGCTTAGATACAAAACATAAATCATTGATAAATTGCTGTCCATTGTTAGTTTAAAAGCCAGTGATAAACAGCACTAAGTGAATTCTATTTTGGAATAGACCAAAGGCAAGGATATTCTAGAAGTCAAATGAGATTGGATGAGAAAATTTTGCGTAATGGAACTTGCAATTTGAGTTTATACCTATTTACTCCAAAAGGTCACACTGCATTCTGTATGACTGCAGCCCTATCAATACTGTTATAAATATTTAAGCTTTATGGAGCTTATGACCTGATAAGAATATTTAGGATTACAGCCTCATATTTCTGACCTATCAGAATTCTTCCTAATTTCTGTTTCATACTGTTTATTTGGGAATAAGCTGCACTGTGCATAATAGAATTCACACATGGATAGAATTGCACTGTAAACAACATAAAATGGATTGAGAACTTTTGGTTCATTGCCTCTTACTCAGATATTCCAATCATATGATCAGCAGCAATTCTGGATCCAAGCTGATGGGATTTTGAGTCTAAGAATATGTGTAGGATCACAAATTCCCCACTCCCCGTTTAAAATAAGACAGACTTGCTATGTCTGTTATGATAAATCCTAAAAAGTGTATAGATATGTACCACCCTGAGAGTTATTGAGTACAATCAATCCCATTATAGACATGTTTAATATAATTACACAGCAAGCATTTTATAATTTGCTAAGCAGCAATTATTCATTATTGTAAGCACAGCAGTTGTGAATTATGCTATCTGCTTTGGTCAAATATTTTGTAGCATTTCCTTGACCAAATGAATGTGTGTCGCTCATAACTGTCAGCCTTATTTTAGAACATTGGCAGAGAAAGAAAAGAAAATGCATGTGTTTTCTAGCTTTGGAACAAAAGAAAGAGGGCAGGACAGGGCAGAAAGAGTCTCACAGCCAGCCATCCTGAATATATGAGCAAGAAAATGAAACCTTTCCTGGGAGTTGTAATAGAAAGAATTCACCGATGATGCACTCACTGCATTATTGAAGACATCTCAAAGGAGAGTTCCATGCTATTAAGGACTGCCTTGACTCAAGTCACAATTAAAGGGCTACCTCAGTGCAATTTCTGTCTTTCTTTTCCTGTTTTGTCCAGGCTAATGATGATTTGTGTGTTATAGAAATGTCACAACTAAATTGGACAATCCCTCAAATATTTTTCAGTTATTCTTTCAAAGTAATTTTCATAAATATGAAATGACTGTAAATGAGAAGGATACTTTGTAAGTCGACGGGAAATTTGCTTCAGCATTAAAGGAGGAAAGATGCACATCAAGGTAAACTCTTACAATAATTGCAAAATAGACTTGCCACAAAGCATTGCAATATGTGGGGCTGCTATAGGGGGTCTCTTGTTCAGAGCACTTTTCACTACAGTTATTGGCATTGTCTTATCCTTCTAACAATCAGATTATCACATTTGGTCATTTGAACTTATTTTCCTTTAACTTTTTTTTAATTTTGGTCAAATTCAAAATTTCGATGAACTTGTTG